GGGGGGGGGGGGGGGGGGGGGGGGGGGGGGGGGGCTGACTGGTCCAGGGATCAAATCCCGGACGTGTCCTTTCTCTATCCTCCTGCAGCTAAGACAATTGCATACAATCAATCAATGAAAGGGCACTTTATTTTTCCGACGACTGGCTGGTATAGGGATTGAATCCTGGACTTGGAGTTACCAGCACCACGCTCTAACGAACTGAGCAACCAGTCAGCCCTAAGGGCACTTTAATACGAACTAAAAGAACAACACAAAGTTCCTTTCCTGCCTAATTCCCACTCTCAGTGATTGCCACATAACCCCATGCCACATAATATCCAGTCCCCTGCACTTCTGAATTAGGACCTAGAGTCTCTCTGGTTAGTTCTAAGGTAACCACACAGCTGCCTTTGTGTCGACCACTAAAGTCCCACTCTGCCTCCTAGAACCTCTGCCTTCAACTCAATTTTAAGACAACAAAGCAGGCCCTGGGAAGGTTTATGAACACAGCATCCCCAGCTTATAGTTCACTCTTCTACTCCTCAACTCCAGAACACTTAATGGCAGTGTTTTTAAATTAATGTTATTTTTTGAGGTACGCGTTACAGCCTTGGATTTGAATCTCAGCTTGGCTCCCTACTGTTATCTGAGCCAGAACTTCACTTCTCTAAACCTTTTTTTCTCATTTCTAAAAGGGAACACTACCACCTGATTTTGGTAGGCTGCAGTTGGGATCAAATGAGATGAATATAGTGTCCTGTGAAATATGGAGTGCACAGTCTACCTTTCGTGCCACTCTGTCTTGCACACAGCTGGTGTTCAGCTGGGATATGGCAACTCCATGGGGTGTCCTTCTCCTTAGCAGCTAAGGCTTAGTTAGAGAGACCAGGATTTCTGCAGTCACACCCTTCTCCAGAGAATGTTTAATATTTTCCACATCTGGTTCTGTACGAGTATCTCAGATCCAGTTAGGAACAAGCACAGAAAAAGGGCGAGGTGCTGAATTACTATCTCATCAATGACAAGGAGGTGGCAGTGCAACAGATAAATTCAGTGCTGGAGCACAAAGTGCTTCTCTCCAACAGTTTCCAGGCTCCCAAGTCTTTCTGTTCACCTTCATTGCCCTCTCATCCATAAACCTCCCAAGTCTGACCCCCACAGGTCTTTTAACCACAAATCTCCACCCTACCCCTCTCCCTCAGGTGGCAGTGAGTGATCACAATCTAATATCTAATCTGACACCTAACGCTCACTTGGGAGTGGTAGCACCAGGAGCAGAGAGCATGGCTAGCAACCATACACAGGGCCAGTGCAGACTGGGCTCTTACACGTTGTACCCCTCCACCACGACAGAGGTTGCAGAACTCTACCCCACTTCCTTTAGCATTAAGAAAGCTGGGGCAGATCAGGGCAACCAACAAAGAAAGAAACTCGCAGAGATTCTGCATCACACCTGCTCGAACAGAAAACAAAGCTGTGCTTCATAGATACATTTGTGGTTTCAAGAAAGATAAGGAAAAAGATAGAGCAACCACGAGGTGGAAGGAGAAAAAGAAGCCATAAACATTTCTGAAAAGAGATCATTTTTCCCAATGTGAAATGCACAGATAATTTAATGTAATTTACTTGATTTTCCCCTCAGGGTCTGACTTCAGAAAATCAAATTACAAAGTCATCATCACATCCTAGATTTATTACAACTGACCTGCAGGCAAAAGGATAGAACTATTACATAAACACTTTGATTCCATGTATATATCTTAAATAGAGGAGAAATTCAAACAAGAATACAGGATAAAATATTCCAAAGCTCCAAGAAGCAGTTATGTTACTGAGCTCCATTTTTACAGACAAATAAGGCAATATCCCTGCACATTAGCTTTTTGATAATTTTTATACATTTTCTATGGTACAAGAGAAAAATAACCAGAGCTCACAATGTACAGTTCTTACACTATTTTCACAGTTTGTGAACACTATACACCCTTTTGTTTTACTTAGATACATTGTAATAAACTCCTTGCCCTTAAGTTTATAGTTTATAATAACCTATGATTAATACACTAAAATTGCCTTTTTATGTGGTCATCCACACAATAGAACAGTCAGATTAGCTCCTGGACAGTCAGAATTGCTTATCTCCATTTGCATAATGGCGAAGTGACCCTATGCTGAGCCAGACAGGAAGTTGACAGCAGAGAAACAAATTCCTCTTGAGTCCCCGGGAGCAATGGAGGATGATGGCTTGGTGTGATCAAAGGAAGACATATAGCAATGCCTCCTTTGAGAACACTGGGAAGTCTAAGGTTTAGGATGCCATGGGAGAGAAGATAGGGAAATTAGGCAAGTGGACCAAAGAGATAAATCATTTTGAATTCTGCAATTTACAGGGATGTAACTTTAAACAGCACCATTCTCCCTTTATTGTTTTACAGTATTTATGACTGTCACTCTGAGAGGAGACACAGCAATACCTGCCACGATTTGGTTCTGTAATGGCATCACCTGCATCTCAGACCATAGCTGTTTTATATTCCAGTGTGCTTAAACCACTCACAGTGCTGCTTAACTGTTACTCAAAGCCTAATGTTCAGTGCCAGGGAGACTGGACCAAAACCTAATGAGGACCTGGCTAATAGGTAAGTGAAGCAGTACAGCAAAAGATAACAGATTTAAACAGTCTCTTATAACTGTTCTGGGTTTTCTGTTTTGCTTTTTTTGTCTTTCCAGTAGAATTCCAATTCCAAGAAATGATGGTGAACTGCTAGAGATTCTAGCAGGTGATTGAGCTTATCTAGAAGACTGACATTTCTGATACTCATATGGTCAAATGTGTCTCTAGAAAAGATGCCTCTTCATCACCTATCATATCAGCTGGGCCCTACTTTATTCAGCCTTTTAAACATCAGGGCATATTAAGAGATTTGGGGCTAAAAATCCTTGATGAGGAACATCCCTGGTAATTATAAAACTTTTACAATCGAAAAAAAAGCTAAATACTGGATTAAGCATAAGTCACACAGCAGCAATAGACCACAGGGGAAATTCAGCCTTTTAAACATCAGGGCATATTAAGAGATTTGGGGCTAAAAATCCTTGATGAGGAACATCCCTGGTAATTATAAAACTTTTACAATAGAAAAAAAAGCTAAATACTGGATTAAGCATAAGTCACACAGCAGCAATAGACCACAGGGGAAAGGAAAGATTTAGAAACTGAAGACCTGGACCAGTGATGGCAAGAAGCAAACAACTGAGATTTGGTCTTTTGCTGCCTATAAGAAATCTTTATCTAATCAATCAAGGCACATTGCTACTAGCTACTTCTCCCTGTTAGTGAGTTATGATGGCTAAAGTATCAGGCTTGGGACCAAGGGGAAACATAGAGCTGCTACAAGTTGTTCCGGATAAGATATTAGAATTAAAAACATCTGTAAACTTTGCCCTCTGTACTTTTTTTCTTCTTTCAGTCCTGGTGGTTTGTGGCAGGTGGAATATCAAATTGGCAGCACACCGAATTCTGAGAATGAAAAATTCTTAGGATCAGCACCTTCTTTGACAAGTGGCAGACTCCTGAATCTTCCCAACGAAGAGTAGAAGGACTGGTAAAGGAGCAAAGAACACATTCTGTCCTGTCTCAATATTTTAATGTTCACCTCTCTGAATGCAACATGGTTTTTGGTAAAGATAAACTCATTCTAATTTAACGTGATATTTCAAACAGGAAATTTGGCTGAGCACATCGATTCCCAAACATCGACTGTGACTGTAAAGCAACAGAATATCAAATCAGTAAATCTATTGCACTTGGTGAAGAAAGTAAATTCCTCCTTTGTCTCCCAGCTCCAGAAGGTAATGTGTCTCATTGGCTGTGCAAGCTCTTCTCACTCAAGCCCAAGTCTCTATGTTCAGACATAGTACATTCAGACATAGCACATCCATCACCACGTCCTTTCAGGATTTGGAAGTCTGACAAAACGTCATTCCAGTAGCTGCGTCTCCAGGTTTCGAGTCTAGAAATGAATTTAAGATGTGAACTAATCACAGTCAACTTGATCGTACTGACTTCCACATTTCATGAATATGTTCGTCACAAAAGAGCAGGATGAGGTCTCTCTGACCAGCACTAACACTGTGTTATCAATCAGGTATTAAAGGGATGCACGTTCTAGGTGACAGGAGTATACAGACATGATGGAAACGAACACCAATCTTATTGCACATGGTGTCTGGGCGAGCAATAAAACACTGTGATATGGGATGAAAATTCTTTACGTCTTGCTTCCTCTCAGCCCTTTTTTCTAGAGTCTGATGTAGCAGCAATATCAATCGACATACATGGGAGAGCTGGGAGTAGCTGGCATTTGATCCAGGATTTTACATACATAGCATGCGACCTCGACGGTACGTTCTTCATACATCAAAATAAAGGGATGTTTCTGTAAGAAAATTGAAAAAGGAAAAACATCAAAAGTTCATATCAGAGTCCAAACTGAACCTTTCCCAATTCCTACACAGCAGAGAACTGCAGGCTCCGAACCACACATGGCTGTACAATATTGTAGCAGCACAAGTCCAGAGAGGCAAGTACAACCTATATTTCATGCAGACACGTTAGTGGATGTGGGCATGCATAGATATAATACATGGTGCTATGATTTGGAGGTGCCACCCTGGCAGCGAGGTCTGGAAACTTATTTGTATACCAAGGGAGTATTTGTTGAGACAGAGAGCGCAGTTGTTCCTCAGCACAAAATATAGCTGGAGCCTCTACCACACCATCTAAGAGCCAAGAAGAACTACATGAATGCCCTTCACTATTCCTCTTGGGACACAGGGACAAATCCCAATCCTCCATTTACCCCATATGCAGCAGAAGGATTACAAGAAGGTTTTCAGTATCAATCCTTTTGACTACCACTGCAAAAAAGGCCCACTAGTAACGTGCCTTATGAGCTTCTGCTCTGTACTCTCCAGAGCCGAAGGGCCAGCATCTGCTTCACTAACCCACCTTTCTACACTCCATCTCTGTCAACATTTTTCCTTCACAGCTTCTCTAAGTATGTCGACTGGATATCTTTACAGTCACTGCTGGGGTGGACCATGTTTGACCCTAACATCCTTGGAGAGCTAGAAGCTAAATGTGACAAACAAATGGGACTTTTCTTAAAATACTTCCACATTATTAAATCACAGTTCTTTCTTCACTGCCCAGACCAATGTTAGACCCAGTAGAATGCTTAAAACATCCAAGTTTCTTGGGAGGAATGAGAACTTTTGAAGAAATGCAAATTGACCATATGATGTATATTTGTTAGCGATTTTTAACTTTATTAAATAAGTGTAAACTTTTCACTAACTTTTTCTTATGAATGTAATATATATAGGCTATGCAACAGAAAATGGCTCCTTAAAGTGAGTTGGAATTCTTTGGGGATAATTTTTATAACATGTTAAGACCAAATTTTCCATGAGAAGTTAGCTAGTAAATTAGTAGAAAAATTACAGCTATAAATTTTCCTCTTTTTAAATATCTTCATTTAGAAACATTCAAAAGAAAACAAAACAAACACTCGTTAAGGTCAAGCTGTTTGTCTATGACGGAGAGGCCCAATGCTTGCTGAGTGAAGATGACGCTGGGGTGAGGATGGATCTAAAATTCTCAAAGTCCCATACTTACCAGAAGTTCTTTATACTTTGGCCTTTTGGATTCATCCTTCGTAAGGCTAAATAAAATCAAAATAACATTGTTAAAATGGAGACACATTTACCCAAGTATTTCTCTTTTCACAAATGAAATATTACGAAGAAACAAATAGTTTTTTTCCCTCACATTCAAAGTCACAAACAAAGCAGCAATCCAGCAATCCGAGGAGGTAAACTATATATGAATTTTATCAACTTATACTTCAGTTTTAAAACTTTTGCACTTTATATCTCAATGCTGCTCTTTGGTCCAAAAGTCTAAAACAATACAACTTCACTAAAGACTAACTTCACTAAAGATGTCAGTATACAAAAACCTCTGCCCTGCTTATATTTCCCCTCGAATTCTACCTTGTCTAATTAAAGTTGCCAGAAGTATTTTCACTTTGTTTGTATTTACCTCATCTGTTTTGGCCCATACCTCAATGATCACTCCCTTCCAATCTCAATTAAATTCACTTTTTACTACCAATAGTTAATTAACACTGACAATAGTTTACCTATTTCTAAACTCACTGCTGTTTTTCATATCTCACACTTTTGTAGTGGATGCTGCACTGGGCTACATAGACTCTCTCCTTAAGAATGAAGAACTTAGTCCACTGTAGGAAATGCTGCCAGCAAACAACCCCTCAGCAGCCGGCCTCTTTGAGATGACTTCAGCTGTAAGTCAGCCACCTTAGCCTTCCTGGGATTGATCCACAAAAAGGTATAAAAATCCAAAATGCTCACTGTAAGTCAGATCAACCCAAACAGGCCATCCCAGCTTCCCAGCTTCCGATGGAGTTGGCTGAGGCCTTCACTGAGACTGCTGAGTTGCAGCTCAACTTCTCCTTCTACCCAGTCCTACTTCCTTCCCTTTACTAGTGGTTCCCAAGATCACCAGCTATTCAACTTCCTGCACACTTATCTCAGCTTTCCAGGCTTTTGAGACACACTTCTAGGTTACCTTTTCTTCTTGGTTAAGTATATCCTTTCAAACAGTCTATGAATGGTAAACTATTTCCATTTGTGAAAATTTCTGTAATTCCTCCTTATTTTGAATGATATTTGAGTGCCAGAGTATAAAACTTTTAGTGCTAGGTTGACAAGTATTTTCCCTCAGCACTCTGGAGCTATGAGTCCACTTTTTTCTAGCAACTACTGTTGCTAGCAATAAGTGTGCTGTCAGTCTAATTCTCAATTATTAGCAGGTAATCTGGTTTTTCTTCCTGTTTTCACCTTATCATTGTTCTGCAATTTTGCTTCACTGCATTAGATATAAATTATCTTTGTTTGTCCTACATGATACAGAGACTACTTTCAATCTGAGAACCTATCCTAGATCAATTCTCAAATGTTTCCCCCTATTATCTCCTTAAATATTCTCCACTTTCAGTGTTGTCTTCTGTATTTCCACTAATTACATCTTAGAACTTCTCACTCTGTATTCTATTCTCCTTGAGTCTGAACTGCTTTTCATATATTTTAATCTGTGTCATGCTGGGGGAATTCCTCAGTTCCATTTTACACTTCCCTAATCTGTCTTCAATTGTTTCCTGTCTAGAGTATATCAAGTATGTTGTGTCTTTAATATCAATAGCTGTGCTTCTTCATTTCCAAGACTTTTAATTAAAGTTTTCTAGCAATTATTGTTGCTAGTAACAAATGTGCTGTCAGTCTAATTCTCAAGTAATCTGGTAGATTTCATATCCAGTTGTTACATTTCTGTTTTATTTCTTCTTCCTTTTTAATGAAATTTAGACTTTTATTTCCTTGATAGTTTTCTAGCAATTATTGTTGCTAGTAACAAATGTGCTGTCAGTCTAATTCTCAAGTAATCTGGTAGATTTCATATCCAGCTGTTACATTTCTGTTTTATTTCTTCTTCCTTTTTAATGAAATTTAGACTTTTATTTCCTTGAGCATCCTAAATATACCTGTTTTATTTTACAGCATATTTCGGGCTATTCCATAAATTTATCAAAACTTAAAAGTAAATTCATGTTCTATTTTATTGGATGCTTTTCTTAGCATTAGATTTCATGTATTTTGGATTTTTGGTTTGCAGACTCATTTTGAAAGAATGTGCTTATCCTGCATGCATATCCATTCTTTTGTTCAACAAATATTTGAGTTCTTACTAAGTACTATGAACTGAACCAGGAGCTAGGGATACATAACGTAGAGTAGTTTCACAGTTGCCTCTTCTTTTCAGAGCCACCAGTCTAGAACAAGGTCCTATAACAGAGCTTTTAAGTTCCAGTCAGTCCTGTGTTGCTATTAGAACTATTACAGATCTAAGTCCTCTGGTTGCAAAAAAACTCCTTGCCATTCCACAGTCCCACAGCTTGCTTAAAGCTGTGGCCCAGGCAGTGACTGACATCAATGTTTTTTCACTCCCCAGATCCTGTCTTCTAAGCAGTGAGTCTGATTCCTGTTGGTCCCTGTACAAAAAGAGCACTTGTAGAACTCTGATCCTACAGGAAGTAATGTCTCCACTAAATTATTTTCTTAGTTGCACTAGACACATTTCAAGTGCTAGTGGACCACAATGGACAGAACAAATTATAAAACATTTCCATTATCTCAAAAAGTTCTATTGGCAGACCTTCAGATCTACCTTCCAGTTCACTAATCTCTTTCCAACCATATCTAATGTGCTATTTAATCCAGCTATTGAGTGTTTTAATTTATGCTTCTATTTCCAGAAGTTCTACTTGGCTCTTTAAAAACCTCTATTCCCCGCTTATGTTTCCAAGATGCTTCTTTATTTTCTTTAAATTTACGATATTTTTGTTTGTTTGTTTCTGATCATTGTACTATTTGAAATCTTTGCAGATTTATTCTTGCTATTGTTTCCATTAATTCTCATTCCTTTTGTGAGTGCTGAGATTTTTTTTTTTTTTTGATGAACTACTCATCTTCCATTTTGACGTTTTCTTTGGGAACTCTTTAGTACTACATTGAAGGATTTCCTTTCACTTCAATACATCTACTAGGAGGAGGATATGGGGTGTCTTCCTAACCAAGGGCTTAAAATTAGTTTTTTTAAAAATTTGGGGCCGGCCCGGTGGCGCACTGCTACAGTACGCCACTTGAGAGCGCAGCGACGCTCCCGCCGAGGGTTCGGATCCCACATACAGACCGGCGGCTCACTGGCTGAGTGAGGTGCAGGCGCAACACCGAGGGTTGCGATCCCATTGCCGGTCCTGGTCCGGTACAGGCGCGACACTGAGGGTTGCAATCCGTTGCCGGTCACGAAAAAAGACAAAAAGGAAAAAATAAAAAAAAATAATAATTCTCTGCTTTAGGTATTTTGTACCATATACTTATTATGAACTCAGAGAGCAAATCCACATTAGGGTGAGCTTATAGGTTTTTAATTTGCTTTGACACTCCCTTACTTCCCCTAATTTCTGATTTCACTTCATTTTAGTGCTGTATGGATTACCTAGTTTTGTACGAACTCTGATACACTTTAAAACATTTAAAAATGCTTATCCAGTATTTTAGTAGTTTTAGTGCAAGTATTATCCAAGATATATAATCTGCCAAAATAATCTAGAGTGGCCACATTCATCCTTCTACAGGTGTTTCTCTACTCTCCAAGTATTGCTCTGTGTTTCTGTACAGTGGTGTGTACATTTGTGTGCATGTGTTTTAATGGAAAGTTTTCAAGTCTTTATATTTTCTCACAATATATGTAGATGAGGCTTCCCCACCCCTCCTTTAAATTAACTTGGTCTGGTATTTTAATCCAAGGACCTAAGTTTTTCTTCAAGTAAAAGAAATTTAAACATTAATTCCTTCTCAGTCTACTAGCACTTAAATAAAATCTTCTGGATTTTTTTTCTATGTCTGTTATCATTTACCTCATGTTCACCTTTTTATCCCTTTCTTCTGGAAGATTAACTAAAGGGTGTTGTCTACTTCACAGATGTGGTTAACCTGCAATACCCAATCTACTGTGTACCACTATTTTCCCTCATTCAATTCAGAAATCATGTTTACTATTTGAAGACCATTCCTGAGTTCAAATTATTCCCTCCTTATAATTGTTTTCCTGATTTCTCTCACAAGGGAATATTTGTTCAAATTTCTCAGACTGCTACAAGTCTCTAAACCACTGAGTGTTTTCATTTACTAGTGATTTTTCTGAATTTCTTCACCCCTAAAAGAGCACCAAAGTTTAACAAATATCATAAGATGACCTTGGTTATAGATCTAGCTGACTGTGAGAAACAGGTGGAGAGCCATCATGATAGCATCATTACCTTGCCGAGGGATTTATTTTCTGGGTTTGTTATAACAGCTTGCACCATGTTCCCACCCTCTAACCAACGTAAGTCTCCTCATTAGAAATCCCCTCAGCAAAGATTGAGCTTTTCTTTATAGGTCCTTCCAGCCAAGCAGAAGGCAGGAATGAATACTACCACAGAATCCCAGCTGCATGTGGGATCTAGCATATAAAGCATTTCCTCACCACATTTTTAGGATGGAGATTTACTCCCTATTTGTCTGTCCCACAGGTTGCCTTTCCTTCCGGTCCTACTATCACAAGCTAGGGAGTTGTTTGCAGGTCTTCTATCCTCCTTGCGACTATTTTTTCCCCTGCACATGATGAACTCTAGGTTGGTAGATCCACCTCTGAATTCAGTCTCATCTACACAGTTTCACACAAATTCCTCAAAGAGTGTACTTTTTGTTCTCTTCCAGGAACAATAAAGATTTTTTTTTCCTTTTTAAAAAAATTCTATTGGTAATTTCAATAGGAAGTTAAAGTGAAAAGGAGTTTAAATGTGGGCTGACATCTTCACTTTGAACCGTAGGTCTTCATCCTTTTTTTTTCTTTCCTTAAGAAAACTTTCAATTGAAGCAGGCATATAGATTCTATTGGTAATTTCAATACGAAGTTAAAGTGAAAAGGAGTTTAAATGTGGGCTGACATCTTCACTTTGAACCATAGGTCTTCATCCTTTTTTTTTCTTTCCTTAAGAAAACTTTCAATTGAAGCAGGCATATAGAAAAGAACACAACTCCTAAGTATAGAAATAAAATAAAAGTAACAATATTCTGACTTCCTATTAATTCTGCCTGCTTTTAACTTTCATATAATACTGTTTTATGCCTTCTTTCACTCAACATTATTTGTGAGATTTACTCATATAGCAATGATTTGATCTTCTCTAATGCTAAAAATCATTGTAGAAATAATGCTGTGGTTTATATCTGGTCTACTGTTGATAGATTTCTTAATTGTAGGTTATTATAAATATGCTTTTCTGAACATTCTTATATGTGTCTTTTAGTGTATTTATGTCCACACTTTTGCTGGGTATATAATTGGGACTTCTATTGCTGGACCATAAGGTATACATCAGTTATATTAAATCAGCTAGATTACATATTGCCAGTTTTCTGAAGGGACTATACCAATTTACACTCCTACAAATTATATGTGAGACTTCCAGTTGCTTCAGATCCTCACCAACATGTGGTGCTGTCAGTGCTTTAAATTGTAGTCATTCTGGTTACTATAGTGGTATTTCACTGTAGTTTTGATTTGCATTTCCCTGATGAGTAATAACACTCAATAAGCACATTTTCTTATGTACAATGAATTCTTTTTAAGTGCCTTGCAAGTTTTTTTTTTACCATTTTTGATTGTCATTTTCATAAGCATTTTATAAGTATTCTTTACACAATCTGTATAGAAGTCCTTTTCCTTTGTCAAATATTTGTATGGGAAATATCTTCTCCCACTATGTGGCTTGGCACTTCATTCAGTGCTGTCTTTTAATCAATGGAAGTTTTTAATTGTCATAAAATCTGGTTTATCAATCTTTTCTCTTTTGCTTGGTTGCTTTCTGCGTGGTATTTAAAAAATCTTTATCCAAAGTTAATGAAAATATCCCCCCATGTTATCCTCTATATTCTTTTAATTTACACAACGAAGAAATTTAGTTTTGCAGAAAAACAGTTCAAGGGGAGTACTGAGAAATATGGCTAGAGCAAAAATCCAAGTCCAGATCACAACAGGTTTTGAAAGCCATGTTAACTTGGACCGTTTTAAAGGCAAAAGGAAGCCTCTAGATGAGTGTTTCTAAATCTTTATGTTTTTCATTATTGCCCCTCCCCACCATGAAATTTAAACAGGACAGATATACAGCATCTCTGTTTATATTCTATAGCCCTTTGGAGGACTACAAACCATTGTACAATCCAAAATTTTTCTGTCTCTCAAAATCAATTATAACCTCCCTGGGGATAATATCACCCACCCCATTAAGAACGCATGCTCTAGACAGTTTAGACAGAGAAGTAACTTATTCAGATATGCATCATAAAAATACAACTCTAATAAAAAGGAGAATGGTTTGGAAGAAGGCAATACTGGATTATGAGGAAACCTACTAGCAATCTGAATGGTCTAGGACAGAGATGATAAACAATGTCCAAGACAAGGATAGTGGCAGGGAGAATGGACAAATGTAGAGAGCTAATATGAGCATATCATAAAAATAAATATCCTTCAAATGTGGACATTAATGATTGGAATGAGATGGAACTATGAAACTACTCAAGGAAAAAAAATGGGACATTGATGTTCATAACCATTGTGTATTATGGCACCAGGAGAAACAATTTAAAAATCTATAAGTACTACTCACATATAAAACAAAAGCAATAAAGAGAACAAGGAATTAAAAAGAAAGCAACCCTGATGGAGGATTCACAGGTGATCACTTTAGATACTGATCATTAGTCATAGATCATTAATCTATGACCTACATAGATTCTTTTAAGCAAATATTTCACTAAAATGAATATATAAAATGATCACATTTATGCAATTATAAACTGTGTATACTGTGTTCAAATTAGTATAAAATAGATTGTTTTTAAAAAGAAGGAAGCAACCAATCTGAGTCATACTATAGTCTTCTTCCACCTAGGAAATCTTGAGGTATTCCTCTCCCTTCTTAGAAACCAATCTAAAAGTTGAATTTGGTTAGAGAAAGGGACTTGAAAACTAGAGCCAAACTAATGTTTTGTAATTATTCAAAAAGAGGACAATGTTATATCCAGAAATATAAATCTTATAAGACCTAGAAATAGTAAAGAGAGACAGCAGTCCTGGCAGGAAAAAATGATGAAAAACAAAAAAGCATTTTCAAGAATGAATAAGAAGATATATTAAATGCTCTGGCTTTTTACTCATAAACATATCTTATTTTTAAAACACGTTCAACAAACAGAATAATTAGCAAAAATATTCAAATTACAAAAGAAAAAGGTTTATTTAAAACAGAGACTGAAACAGTACAAAGCATGACTATACCATTGTCATATATGTCTACACAAAAAGTCTTCAAAAAGTTCACAGAAAGATTAATACAAATCTCCATGAGCTTTGTGAAATATCCTCTTATTTATTCTTAGGTGCTACATACATACACACAAAAAACTGTTAAAAAGGTAGACAAACAACAACAGGCATGGGGTTTACACCTTCTTAATAAAGTTTCAAAGAGCCAATATATACAGGTCTACCAACTGAGTTCTGGCCCTGACCTTACTGCATACATCCAACTGTGTTCTATGCTATGTCAGAGCAGGTATTCGCCTATGAAAGTCTGATCTGGCAAACTCTTCACTTAGCAAAAGTTTCCAGGTGATTCTGGCACAATTTCATGGTGAGAACCGCATCAGAATAGGATGATCAGTCTCACCTAGAGGTTTAACCTGGTATTTCTTGTACAAGGTACTGGAAGTCAGGAGGCAGCAGCTTCTCCACAACCAACGGCTGTTTTTCACCAATACCTGAGTAGCAGAATAAGAGGGTGATGCCTCCCCAGGCTAGCTAGAACTTTCCATACAGCCACGGTGATCCAGAGTCCCCTCTTAGAAGGAAGGGTGATGATGACAAAGGGCCCCCTTCCCCTGGGTACAGTACCAACGTTGCTAAGATAAACCTCACTGTTCTCAATATGTGTTTGACCATTCGTAAATCAAGTACTCACCACAAGTTGACAAAGTTGATGAAACTTGGGGAGAATTCCCTTTCCTCAGAATTACTCAGCTGTGGAGGATCTCCTTTCACGACTTGTGTTAGTTGATCAAATACACTATTCCACTTTGGATAAGGAAATCGGCCTGTGGCCAACTCGTACTGAAGAGAACAAAAAAGAGAAAAGCAAAATACACTAGGCATTATTTACTCCTCCTCACTGGAATGGCCATGATGAAAACCTGAATTCCTAGCAAAATTCTAATTGCTAATCCTAAAATCGAACCTGGATCAGGTTGGGATGAAATCTTCAGAATCATGAAGGCTGAGGACAGCTTATATTTAGAAATCAAGATAGTATAGAGAATTCTGTATCAATCAAATTCAAGGACTTGAACTAAAGGGAAACATCAAACTTAAGCCTAGATGACGTCCCCACAATGTATGTTGCATGCAACCTCTGATTCTGACTCTTAAGAAAGATTCTGCAAGGCTAATTTTAGACCTTTTTTAGTACAGAATCTGCACAATTTTTAGTCATCTGAATGGAAGGCCATGGTCCAGAATGGTGGTCAAATTCCTGTGTGAGGCAAAAAACAATCAACAAACAGAAGTCCAGTATGAGCTTGGAGGAAAAAGTAAGCAAATCCTGTCCTTCAACTATTCTGTAGTCACTACAATTTCAACCACGGCCAGATTTTACTATTACTGAAGAAATCAATTCAGGTTCCTTCACTCCAAGCCTCAATAAAGGACTCAGGATGGAATCTCTAAACCATAGCGAAATAAATCTGAAGTGTCTTAATTACATATGTCCCAATCCGTCAAGTCAAAAATACTTGCTCATAACCAGTGAATCATATTTGCACCTTTTTCCCACTTTTGTTCTGAAAATAATGTAAACTGAAATTGTGCTTTTTCCAAAAAATATATCTAAATCTAGATGCACCATGACATAATGAATCCCATTTTATGTGCATTGACAGGTAATTAATATATGAGGCTGAGGCTCCAAACTTATTACGAAGATGGCATACAGAAGAGAGAAAGAACACTATCTTAGAGGACTGATTCTGAGTTTCCTCCCCAAAAGATGTCCCCATCAGCTCAGTCTTGTTACACATGTGTGTGCAAGAACGCATTGACAGGTAATTAATATATGAGGCTGAGGCTCCAAACTTATTATGAAGATGGCATACAGAAGAGAGAAAGAACACTATCTTAGAGGACTGATTCAGAGTTTCCTCCCCAAAAGATGTCCCCATCAGCTCAGTCTTGTTACACATGTGTGTGCAAGAAAGCAAGCAGGCATGCATGCACACATATGCAGAATTTCATTCCTTTGGCTGAGGTTTCTTTTTGTTAAAACTACAAATGCTTTGAAAGAAGTAAACCTTATTGGTTATTCACAGCATTACAAATCACTTCACTAGATTCATTCCTGAGAACAGGTTTTATATAAGAGAAGGAAAAAGTAGGCTGTACATCATAAAGTGAAGGACTTAGAATCTTAGAAATTAATTTTGTACACTTCATAATTTTATAAGATTATCCCTACAAAAAATAAATTATGAAGCAATTGTTAAGTACTAAATACCTTGCTTTTAAACAACAAGGTCTGCCTAAATGTACCTTAAGGAAGTTGCTAAAAAAAATGTTTATGTTAAAGCCTTTCACAAAACAAAATTTTGTTTTTGTAAGGATACTTGCGTTTTAAACATAATTGGTTAGGTCACAGAAAGGTATTTCTGATCATAAATATCCCTTATACGTAAGCAGTTGCCTCATCTGTAAGCCATAGGTCTTGTTGTAGTTTTTGGGACCAGTCCCCAGACATAAAAGATGCCAAGATCCATGTTCCTTCATAACAAAAGAAGAAGGAGTTCCTTCTTTTTTTAGCTGAAGGAGTTCCTTCTTTAGCTAATTCCCTTTACGATGAGAGAAAACTCAAGGAGGTATCTCCCATATTTAGTCACAAGAGAAAATAGATGGAGTCCTCTACAGAGGTGAGCTATTAGCCTTCAGCTCTCCATACAAAGAATCCATTAGGCCTGGCAACAAGACTCGCCAAAAATAACTAACAAGGACATGTGATTCTGATCACAGGAAGAAGATCCTAGAGCCACATAATGCCAATGAATAAACAGAGATTATTTAATAAGCTACAAAAAAAGCTAACTGCTCTGAACCTGTGTATCTCTGGGCTGTGGGTGTTAAGAAGCACAAACTGAAAATCCGAGGGAAATAAAAGGAAAAGGTTTGGGTTGGCCACCTAACAGGACAGCCCCTTCTAGGGGTAGAAAATTAACCTCCAGTGTAGAAGAAGCTACAGAAGCTATTCCAAATCAGAAAAATCTCAGCAAGCCCTGGCAGAACAGCAAGCACAAGAAAATAAACCTAGAACTTCAAAACAAAATTCGACTGAATGGTTGTGTCCCACCCCCCACCGCAAAATGCATATATTAAAACCTAATCCTCAATGTTATAGTATTTGGAGGCCTTTTGAGATAGTATCTGGCCTTTGGGAAGTGATTAGGTCAGGAGGGTGGAGACCTAACGAATGGGATTAGTGCCCTTGTAAGTGACCCCAGAGAGTCCCCTCACCCCAGCTGTGTCAAGGCACAACAAGAAGACAACCACCTATGAGCCAGAAAGTGGGCCCTTACTAGACAATGAATCTGTCAGCTCCTTGATCTTGGACTTCCCAGTCTTCTGAACTGTGAGAAATAAATTTTTGTTCTTGATAAGCTACTTAGTTTATGGTATTTTATTAGAGTAGTCTGAACTAAGATTATTTTTAAATGAATTCAAAATTTCAATACAGTCCATAGGTAAGAAAGAAGAGTGTAGTTGTGCTTGCTTGTTGTAAGTTATATAGCTTTCTCACTGTTCTTTCCCAGTGTTGTTCTAAGGTAGAACTTTCACCTAGAATTATTGCCTAGGAAGTTCTTGTCCCTCAACAACTGAATTACTTTCAGTTCTTTTGTGACTTTCCTAATCAGTGAATAGAAATTCCAAGTAGAAACTATTTTCCATATATATAAATATGTATACTTAATATACATACTATATGCAGTACTACTAGACATACTACATCTTGCTTGAGATGGGACGAGCCTAGGTGCCTTCACTGCTGAATTGACAGCAGGTTAGCTGCCCTCCCCTACTCCCATTCTTAGTGCAGTTGCTAACTCCTGTTATCTGTGGCCAAGAGATCCAGCTGTGACATTAAAGAGCCCTAGACACTTCACAAGACCTTTAGGGAAATAATGAATTCTGATTTGATTTTTAAGGTAAATACATTTCCCACCCCCCCAACAATTAGAAACTATAGCCTCTGTGATTACAGTCATGGCAGAAAGAAAATAGGTGAACAAATTCAAAGACTAGAAAAAGAAACAGTTCTTATGACGGATGGAAGTCTGATTAAATTGTCTTTCATTTTTACATTTCTTATTATTATCCTATTATGACAAGGTTGAATCAACATAAACATACCAATGTGATCCCCAAACTCCAGACATCAGAGCGGACATCATAACCTTGTCTTGATGCACTTGGGTCTATTCTTTCAGGCTGGAACACAAAGAGAAGTCAGGGTCATTAATTATGCTTACTCTCAAGGATCAGACAAATGTATGCAATAGCTGGATAGGTAGCCAAAATGCCAGCATATTCTTAGAGGAATCCATGTCTAAGGTCAAACCGGGAGTAACAATAAGCCATCATTATACTAAAAACAAACTACAGACAAAAACAAAAAATCCAACTCAATGACATAAAGGAAACATAAAGCAAATCTTCTAATCGTTCCCCCTAAGTACCCACAAGCATTTATAAAGCTAAAGCTGAGAATAGATGTAGGGAGAGAAAGGGAAAAAACTGAAAAAATGGAAAAAATACAGAATTATAAGGTCAGATTAGCAGCAATTAGCAGTAAACAAGGGAAAAAAAACATAGGTCTTCTGATTTTACTAGTCTTTGTCTCAGTAGATAAGGTCATATAGCGCAGCGCAATATGCCTGAGATGCAAAAGCAAAACATGAGCTAAATTTATTACAACTGTTCCACTCATTCTTTATGATAAAACTAAATTTATCGCTAAGCATATCTTTAAAGATATTTGTCTATTAGTCATTTTTAACCAAGTCAAAGCATTCCCAATAAAGAAATATATTATTTCTATAATAAAACAGCAAAAATCATTTTTAGTAATTTATGTGAAGGGAGAGCATCTTTACATTTCCTTGAAATTAGGGACCATCATTTACACGGTGTGTCAGGGATGGAGAAAAAAGAGAGAGAGAGGGTATCAGTGGCACAGCGTTAACAATGGATCCTTAGCTAAGGCTGAGAATAACTGCTATTGAAAGAAAGGTCCAGAGAAGCATAATAGTTGACAGTGTTACCTTCTCTACCTGTCAGAAAGAACTAGTTTGGAGACCTATGTATTTTGTTTTGAACATGAATACTGTGCTGCAAAAATATTCATTGAACGCTGTTTTTGTTTTTAGTTGTAAATATATTTATTTGCCTGATAAGATACATGTTACATAAATTCAGCCAAGAAAGAAAATACTCCATCCAACAACAGAAAGATAAACACTTTTCCCAAACTAGCACGGGACATTCACTCAATAGACCACATTCTGGAACATAAAACACATCTTATTTCAAATGAACAGAAAAAAAAAAGAACAGAAATCACATAAAGTATGTTCTCAGACCACAAAATAATTAGAAAAGAATAAGAGAAAGATACCTAGAAAATCCTTGAATATTTGGAGATTAAACAACATACTTCTAAATAACTCATGGATCAAAGAAGTCTCAAAAAATAGTAAAATATATTTTGAACTAAATGAAAATAAAATTGCAACTTATTGAAATTTGTGGAATGCAGAAAAAGTACTCAAAAATTTATGGCATTAAATATGATATACATTATAAAACATCTCAAATCAATAGCTTAACTTTACAGCTTAAGGAATTAGAAAAAAGAACAAACTAAATCCCAGAAAGTCATAGAAAAAAATAAAAAGTACAGTGAAAACAAGTGAAATAGGAATAGAAAAACAACAGACAAAATTCAACAAAACCAGGATGATTCTTTGAAAAGATCAACAAAATTGACACACCTTTAGCTAGACTGACCAAGAAGAAAAAAGAGAACATTCAAATTACTGAAATAAGAATAAAAGAGGGGATACTACTACTGATTTTACAAAAAGAGAGGAAATGGACACATTCTTTGAAAATGAAAACCTAACAAAAATAACAGAAATCTAAATAACCTTAGAACTATGTTATTTAATGAATTCGTTATTAAGAACCTCTCCACAAAGAAAAGTCCAGACCCAGACAAGTTCACTGGTGAACTTTTTCAAACATGTAAGGAAGAAATAACACCAGTTTTACACAAATGTTTTGCAAAAACAGAGAAAGAGAGTAGCTTCTCAACTCATTTTATGAGGCCAACATAACCATTTATGAAAACCTGACAAAGACATCACTAGATAATTAATATCATCCCTTTGTACACAAAAATCTTTAATAAAATATGAGCTAATTGAATCCAGCAACACATGAGGTAATAATCATAACCAAGTGAAGTTTTCTCAGGAATACAATACTAGCGTAATACTTGAAAATCAATAATGCATCATATTTACAGAATAATAAAGAAAAATCACATGACCACATCAATAGATACAGAATTTGCATATGACAAAATTTAAAACCCATTAATAACAACAGCAATAATAATAACTCTTGGCACACTGAGAAGAAAACTTCTCCATTTCAAAAAAGGCATCTAAAATAACCTAAAGCTAACATCATACTTATTGGTGAAATATAGAATATTTCCTTTTTAATTAATATTGGGAACAAAGCAAAGACGTCTATTCTCACTACAAAAAGGCAAAGGAAAAAAGAAAGCATTGCCTTTATTCACAAACATTTGTATTTCTACAATTCTTTACATAGAAAAGTCTTATTAACACTAACAGAAAAAATAAAATAAAAATAAATACATAAATAAATCTAAGAGGAAAATGAAACTAGCAAGGCCACAGAGCACAATGTCAACATATGCAAATCAGTTGTATTTCTATGTAATAATAGCAAAATATTGGAAAATACTTTTTAATTCCACTCACGATAATAGTATCAAAAAACATGAATTCCTTAGAAACAAATTTAAAAGATGCTCAGGAGGTCCACACTGAAAACTACAAAACATTGCTGAGAGACAGCAAGAAGATCTAAAAGAATAGAGAAACATACCAGGTACTGAAAAACTCAGTACTGTCATGATATCCACAGGTGAATGGATAAATATATTGTGGTATATTGGTACAATGCAAATTTTTTCAGCAATAAAAAGAATGAACAATTAATACATGCAATAGCATGCATATATGTTCAAAACATCGTGCTGAGAAGAAAGAAGGACATCACAAATAAGTTCATACAGTAAGATTACATTTACCTGAAACTTTAGGAAAAGCAAAAAACTGATAGTGACAGGAAATAAGATCAATGGTTGCCTTAGGCAGGGAGGGGTGGGGGGCAGTATGGGGATAGAATATCGGAATAGGCACCAGGGATCTTTTTAAGGTGACAGGCATCTTCTACATCTTGAGTGATTGTGATTACATGAGTAACTACATTTGTCAACACTCAAAGTATACACTTCAAATGGGCATACCTATCATTTGTGGTTATGGTAATAAAGTTATTCTGAATTTCTTGGATGCTTATGTCACGAAGAGCTGGAATTTCTAGCAAGTGTGTGTTAGAAAAACTTATCGAGTAACTACATTTGTCAACACTCAAAGTATACACTTCAAATGGGCATACCTATCATTTGTGGTTATGGTAATAAAGTCATTCTGAATCTCTTGGATGCTTATGTCACGAAGAGCTGGAATTTCTAGCAAGTGTGTGTTAGAAAAACTTATTCAACTCCAGGAAACAAGGCAAAAAAAAAAGGATCCCATTTCCTTTCAATGTCATAGTGGAGCATCATCTAACATGACCATACAAGGATTATTTAAGCGTAGTTTTGTTTCACTTATTAACTATTCGTTAGGATCCACACATTTAAGTTACATGACAACTTGTAGATTTTTGTCCAATAGGGTTGCAAATGATTTCTGTTCAATAACCTCAAAAGTTATTATTTTATTGATGTGGAAATAACTAGCAGTTTCATCTAATGGCCACATATTTAACTTTAACCATCTCATTCTAATATTCTTTCTTCAGTGACTATAAATACTAAATTACTTAAACACTCCTTGAGCCAGTTTTACCATCCTATCTAGTTTTCTCACCAATGAGTTAAACATATGTTTGACACATATTCTTTCTTCATTTGTACATGAAATAATTATAACATTTTGAAAATTATTCTTTGAGGAATACAAATTAAAAGTTGATGAAATTAATTAAAGACCCTGTATTCTACATCTACATCCAAAATATAGGTTTAAAAAACAAAAAGCTGCTGAAAAGTATAACAGGAAAATACTAACTTAGAGAATAGAGTATGTAACATTAACAAAAACAGCAAAAAAATAGATAAAATGATTTCATATCAAAAATATATAAAATTTACAATAAATGCACAACTCAAGTTAATTTGTATTAAAATACATAAAATAAAAACTAAGGAATAATGAGAAATTGACAATCACAATGTTAATCAAATTTTGAACAAGTCCCCCTAAATCTTTTTGGATTAAAGAGGCAAAAAAGTATCAAATAAATGTAACTAATATAGAATTTTTTTGATATTTCATGTGTTCATTAATCACTTATTACGTCACAAAGAAAATCACAGTATGTCCCAAAAGGCAGAACTGTATAAGCTAAAAAGCTTTGAAAGCAATTAAGTCAAAAGATTAACAAAAATCAATGAAACACTTTGTATTATCTATGCTGTATAACAAATTACCCCAAAACTTAATAGCTTAAAACAAGATTCATTATCTCATGGTTTCTGTGAGTCAGGGTTTGGGAAGCATTTTAGCTGGGTGGTTCTGACTCAGGGTCTCTTCTGAGACTGCAATCACGATGTGAGCTAGGACTGTAGGCTTTACTGGGGTTGGCAGATTTGTCACCAAGTTCACACATAAGGTTACTGGCAGGAAACCTCAATTTCTCACCACATGAGTCTCCTCATAAAGCTGCATCAGCGTCTTCACAACCTGGCAGGTGACTTCACGAAAAGTGAGCAACCCGAGAAAGAGCGAGAAAGAAGCCCCAATGCCTTTTCATGACCCACTCTCAGAAGGGACACAGTCTATTCAGCCACATGCTATTCATTAGAAGCAAGTTACTAAATTCATCCTCACACATGTACTTGGTCTCTACCTTTTGAAGGGAGGTGTATCAAAGAAATTGTGGACAAATTTTAAAACCACCACATACTTAGATATTAAAAAAACACTCCAGTAAACAGCTCTTATACTTAACATTTATGACAACTAAAAAAATGGAAATATGTGTATGAGGGTACTTCAAAAAGTTCATGGAAAAATGGAATTAAAAGATAATATGAATCTTTC